TTCTTCCCAAACCGGGACGAAATCTATCAACTGCCAAGGGCTGGCGACCAATCTCGCTGCTGTCGAGCTTAGGTAAAGGACTTGAGCGTCTAGTTGGCAAGAGAATGGCATGGCTGACGATAAGTCACCAAGTTGTTCATCCGCAATTATTCGGCTCAGTACCAGGACGATCTGCGGTCGACCTTGCATCCTGTGTAATCCATGATGCTGAGGCGGCCATGAGAAGCGGAAAATGTGCGGCTATGGTCTCACTAGACATCCAAGGTGCGTTTGATGCAGTCCTTCACAACCGACTACTCCAACGCCTTCGAGAACAAGGCTGGCCACTATCTCTGTGCCGGTTCATTCAGACCTTTCTCTGCCAACGAAAAGTCCAGGTGAAATACCGTGGTGGAACCACAGACGAGAAGATGCTGGAATGTGGAGTACCTCAGGGCTCGCCACTGTCACCACTTCTTTTCATGCTCTATATCGCTGTGCTTTTTAAGGACCATGGACTAACGAGCAGGTTTGGCTATGCTGATGATCTAGCCATCATTAGAGTTGGAAGCACCGCGGCCGAAGCTATCGCAGCAGTCCAAGAAGACCTCGACAGCCTCGTCCTTCTCGCCAGAGAACACAGGATCGAATTTGACCCGGCAAAGTCGGAACTTCTAGTGACCGGAGGAGGTCCTAGGAAGAAAATCAACACAGCCAACCTCTCCATCTTGGTGAAAGATCGCCGGATCGAACCGTCGCCTCATATCCGGTGGTTAGGAGTCTGGCTTGACACTCAGCTGAACTTCAAGCAGCATGTACAGGAATGGACTGGAAAAGCTAATCGTCTAGTCCACTTTTTACGACATATAAACGGAGTTCAGCGCGGGGCAGCACACGGACCTCTAATTCGTGCGGTACAGGCATGCGTTCTGAACACAGCTCTCTATGGGGCAGAAGCGTGGTGGCCGGGTCTTTCTCGAATAACCACCATCCGAGATAAAGAAGTCGGCACTGGAGTAGGGTGGCACACATCTCTGCTGGACAAAACTATCACGAAAGCTATACGAGTAGCACTCCCAGCGTGGCGTACCACTCCCAATAGCGCTCTTCATCGTGAAGCGGGAATTCCCCCGGCATCAATAATTCTCCAACAAAAGATGATGCGGTCTGCAGCTCGAATGCGAAGAATGGATGCCTGGCACCCTCTAGCCCTTCGGGCGGCGGAGGACCCGAAAGATACTATAAAACGCCTAGGTCTTAGATCGGGACAACGAGATCGCTTGTTCAGACAGCCAGAAAGGTACATGACACGCCTACAAATAAGCGTGCGTCAAGTTCCGACAGCGGAAGGCCCTGGAAAGCTCTACTTTCCCCATGGTCTCCCGGCATCGACACCAGGCAGTCGGGAAAAAGAAGCTAGGTCAGGAAGCATCAAACGATGGTTAACTTCCCTTCCAGCCAACGCAGTCTGTGCCTTCTCTGATGGATCCTCGTCGGGTCCCGGGCAATCAGCTTGGGGTTATGTGGTATACCAAGGAGGCAAACTAGCTGGAAGTGGCTCGGGTCCGCTTCCCGGAGCAGAGGTATTCGACGCAGAAGTTGTTGGCGCTATGAAAGCCTTGGAGGCTGCACTAGCGGTGGGAGAAGGCTTTCCGGTCAGCATTCTTCTGGACAATCAAGCGGCCGTCAGAGCGCTCGAACAAGGAAGATCCAATTCCTCGCAGACAGTGGTGGACAAGTTCTCATCGCTGAGACATAATAGGCTTGTAGAAATACACTGGATACCTGGTCATGTGGGGATCCAAGGCAACGAAGAAGCCGATAAGCTGGCCAAATCAGCCCTGGGAGATCTCAATGACCACTCACTAACCCCAGCTTCGCCCAACGGAGACGAGCAAATTCTGACCTTTGCGGCTCTAGGGAGACTAGTGAAAATGCGGAGCCAAAAGCTTGTGGAAGAGTGGTGGCAGAAGTATCGGCCTAAACGATACAAAGATCTCGACCTCTACATGCGCTGCAAGCGACCGCCGGAACTGGCTCTGCCTCGATGGGCGTATCACCGTCTTATTGCGGCAAGAACAGGCCACGGGGACTACGCCGACTACCACCGGCGTTTCAACCCCGAACATGAAGATCTGATGTGCATTTGTGGCCGAGAGAAAAGGCCCTGGCATTTTTCAGAGTGCCGACCTGCTCTGCAACGTTGGAGAAGCTGTGAGAAAATGACTCCACCTGGGGTCAGGGAAATGATAGGGGAGAAGGGATGGCAGAAGTTTTTCCAATTCCTAACCATAAGCAGATGCTACAGTCTGCCGAAGAACTGACAGGGTGGGAGTGACCATGCTGAGATAGTTTCTGGCTCGAGAGGAGAGGTGTTTGGAAGATAGGGATACGGTGCAGGGCACCGTAACTCAGACATTTGCTGTGATTTTATTTTTCTTTTGTCGCTTCTGGCTTTAATGCCGGTCATGTAGGTAGCAATGAGCTCGTAGGGCCCATCTACCCGTGTCACGTCTAAATAGATGTTGGGTTCGTCCTGTCACGTTAAAGATTTCAAATTCAAATTCAAATTCAAATTCAAATCAAATCAAATCAAATCAATCCTCTTTCATAGACCAATCGGGACGTCACTAGGAATTTCTAGTAACTAGTAGTAGGACTGCGAACCAGCCTCAGGGGAACATACTAGAAACTGGTTACAGGCAAGAAGAATATTCCAGATAGTATAGTATGTGTATAAATAGTTGAGGTAGGACTTGAATAGATAGGCATAGAGAAAATAATAAACTACCTTCGTATATCTGATTGCTCCCGCATCGACTCTCGAACCGTGACAGCTGCAAACATATACAACGACAAGAAAATAGGTAGACTTTCGATGAACTATAAAGAGTCACCTATCCAAATCTACCAAAATCTTAGCAGGGCCCAGAGTAGCATTGCCACACAACTAAGAAGCGAATACATTGGGCTTAATGCTTACTTATACTGAAGGAATATGCCAGGGTTAGGAAAACCATGCTGCCAATGTGGATATCCGTCACAAAACATGACATAGCTGGTCATGGTTTATCCTCAATGGGCTAAGGGAAGAGGAGAAGTGCTTCGAAAGGCAAAATATAGGTCATTTGCGACATTGATGAACAGCCCGGATGTTATAGAGAGAATCACAAAATGGATCCTGGCAAAAGGCTGGTTTGAAAAATTCCGGCTTGCAGGAGAAGTAGAAATAGCATTATACGAGAAGATGAGACGATGTGGACAAGGATAAGACGGAATTCACACTGTTTAAACAGTGTAAACGCACTTCCTGTAGGAAACCTTAGATAACCAATAGACACAGGGAGACTATTCTCAACACCTGTCAGTAGTGTCCTCTACGAACCTCCAGCTCTCACTGTAAAGTCTGCAGAGCCGAGATTGAGTAACAAAGTCCTCACTTCGACGAGGATTCCCAATCGCTTTCGCCGTCTGTATCGTCTTCATCTCTCACCATAATCCCCTACACCATTATCATGAAGCTAACCACGATCAGATCAGATGGTAGGGTCAGAGCCCTACTCATCACCAAGCCTTGATCATGGAGGAAAAGCCATCCGATGAGTTTCCCGAGCGTACCCAGCACCCGATACGGAGATGACGGATTGGATCAAGTCAGCCTCAAATGTTACAAAGAAGGGAGATATAGATGAATATGCGCACCTCATGTGGTCCCGGTGTCTAGGCCTTGCCTGGCTGGGGCTGCAGGTTTTTTGAGACTTTTTCCCGCGCACGCAGTTTCCATTGCTACCATTTTTATTTATTTTATTTTCTTTTTTGGGTAGAAGGTTCGGTCGAAAAAGTGGCCGAATTCCACGGGTAAATACTGAGCTGAATCGCTATTCGTGAAGGGGAATACATCAATGATCTTTCAAGTAACAAAAGAGGTTAGGAGCACTGTACAAGGTGTGGCCTGGGTCAGAGATGAGCCCAATGTGCTAGATAGTCATAGACTCAAGTGGTACAAAAAAAAACACACACCCTTACGACCCTCACAGATACATCAACAAAAACTACCACGGCAAAACCTACAGACGAACAAGGGTTCACACTGGTGTCCCACCAAAAGCCGGAGGTACTAAGGAGAGAGCTAGGACGCCCGCGCATATAGCTCCTGGTCAATCTTCCACCACAAGTATTCGGACCATCGGGGTCAGGTTCAAGACCACAGTCGTCTATCTTTAGTACGCGATGGCAGGTAAAGAATGGCGAGGTTCAATACAATTTCTGCTAGTCCTATTTTGGACTCAAGGCCAATCGCACTTCCTGTAGGTAACGAAGGACTTCAGACGAAGATAAAAATTAAAAGGGGGTTTTATCGTGATGGTTTCCGTCTCGGGTAAATATATAGATAAGTTCACAGCCGCCTGCATGAGTCCACTGGGCGCCAAATCGGATTAAATGAAATCTATTTCAAATAATAGAGAGAAGTCAGATGTGCTACATATTCATTGACTTAGGCAATGTAATAAAAACTAAATCATTGCTACCATTCTACAATCAGAACTCAACTGACTCAGATTACCAATCTTGTGTTTTAGGTCAAGGAGACGTATAGAGTACTTGGACTTTACTTCGAGTACTAGCTTAGGTTACATACCGTAGTACTATCTTACATGACTAAGGTTTTCTCAAACGTTACAACAACGGTAAGATTGCTGTCAACCTCGAAACATCCAAGGACCCAGGCATTAGCCTTGGGTTTTATATCTATTAGGTGTGTACAACGATTACGTAATTATTTATGCAGGACTAGCGAGTTGGATGTCGCTGGGTGGGCGGCACAGGTGGGGCTAACTATTTTAATCCTAATGCTTCAAGTACAGAACCCTTAATCCAGCCACTGATCAAAAGTCGAGCAGTTATGGGCATACTACTTTCTCTGCCCCTATTAGCAGTGCCTAGTGTCGGAACTGTATGTATTTACATCCTCATCTTGACGAATAGGTCGGAAACAGCTAATGAAATAGGTTTTTGGGTGCATGGCAAGTTGCTGCGGTGCAGCAACCTGCTCTGCTGTCTGTAGTGCATGCGGAAAATGCGGCAACAGGTTTCTTATTATTTTTGAGTAATTTTCAATAACTAACATGATACAGTGTGGCTACTCGTATCTCCTACGCCATGATCCTTTTAACGAATTCCATTCTGTCCTGGGTAATGCTCACGCCGTGGGCCATCAAAAAACTCCAAAAACTTACGCTCGACCACATGGAAATAAGCTGTCCTGATGGGCCTTGTTACGGCTGGATAGCTGTGCATCGGATAAATTTCGCACTAGGAGTATTTCACTTGATACTTGGAGCTCTTCTCCTCGGGGTTAATTCTTCGAAACATGCCCGGGCAAACATTCAAAATGGGTTTTGGGGACCAAAAATAATTGCCTGGCTCTTACTCATTGTCGTTTCCTTCCTAATTCCCGAATCGTTCTTCTTTGTATGGGGAGACTATATTTCTTTTGCAGGGGCTACCGCTTTTCTTCTCCTTGGACTCATTCTATTAGTCGATCTTGCCCACAGCTGGGCAGAATACTGTCTCAAACAAATGGATGATAATGAACAATCGCCGTGGCGATTTATACTTGTTGGCTCGACTTTGGGAATGTACGCAGTATCCGTGGCCATGACTATAGTCATGTACATTTTCTTCGCCTCCACAGGTTGCACTATGAACCAAGTAGCTATAAGCCTTAATCTCATTTTTTTTCTGGTGGTAAGCGGTATATCCGTTCATCCTGCCGTGCAGGAATTCAATCCACAAGCCGGGCTTGCTCAAGGCGCAATAGTTGCAGTGTATTGCACATATCTCACAATGTCTGCTGTATCCATGGAGCCAGATGACAAACATTGTAATCCTCTTATTCGCGCCCAAGGAACTCGTACAACATCGGTTGTGATCGGTGCCTTTGTCACTATGCTTACAGTCGCTTATACCACCACCCGTGCTGCGACTCGAGGCACTGCTCTCAGCGGAAGAGGAAAGATTCGTCTTCCTGAAGAGGATGTACACAACCTTGTCATTACTCAGCCAAATAGTCGTCGTCAGATGCGTGCAGCTGCTCTTCGTCAGGCGATTGAAGAAGGTAGCCTTCCTGCCGATGCCCTGCTTGATGATTCCGATGTTGATTCAGCTTCCGGCCCTCCACGCGACGATGAGAAGGCGACAACGCAATATAACTATACGCTTTTTCATATCATATTTTTTCTAGCTACTGCGTGGGTAGCTACCCTCTTGACCATGAACGTTGAGGAAAGCACTAAAAATGGCGATGATTTTGCGCCAGTAGGCCGAACATACTGGGCAAGTTGGGTTAAGATCGTGAGCGCATGGGCTTGCTACGGCATCTACACTTGGACACTCATCGCGCCGATGGTGTTGCCCGAAAGATTCGCTTATGATTAAATAATGAGGCAGGAAACAGTACTGTATTATTGTCTAACAGACCATTAGATCCTACCTGACCATAGATTCACTTTATCTCCCTTAATGTTTTTTTCTGTGACCGATAAGTTTTGGGAATGTCTTTCATTTAGTACAGGACTTAGTTCCTCCTAGTATTTTTACAAATTGTATCCTTGGTCTAGTTCCGCTTATATAACTACATTTTAATTCTATCAAAGAGCTGGCCCATTAACAGAATAATTGTTGATTGACATCACCTCGCTATTTCATGCTTTCATTTGTCACCTTATTCTGATCCATCCAACACCAAATGATTAACAAGGGGACTCGGAAGCCCTCATCATCTCTTTCGAGCAATTGACATTTCTTCGTAAGCAGCAGTATAAGAGTATACCCGTTGGGAATTTAATAATATGTCGCACAGGGAATTCCACAACGCCCTGAAATGCAGAGAGCCACCCAACGCCATCCTTTATCATTACTCCGAAAGTCCAACAGTACCCCTACCTAACTTTGAAAATAATAAAGGTGCGATTTGCGGGGAATAATAGTGATTAATCACAAGAAATATTCCCCACCCCCCCAGTAGCCAACAGGTAAGGATCGGTTTTCAACTGGAACAGCACTGAAAATACTGAACTTGGGATTAAGGTCTTTATCGAGGTTCATGATGGATGCAACATTGCCACAACGGTAACAATAATTGGGAGCCGACCATACAGTGACAACTGATTTCTCTACAAAATGGTACTGAGCGCTGTTAGAAGATGAGTTACTGTCAAAGATAAATTGGAAACATACTTTATATCCTTCATTGACCAGCTGATGAGCTCGGGCAATAAGCTTCAAGCCGTTCACGTAGTTGAATTCAGTGGCCACCTTATCGCCGAACAGCCATCCAGCACCACGTGGAGATATGGCCCAGGTCTCAACCTCCTCTGGATCACTCCAAACTAGATCACAGAAGGCACCCTCATGAGGTATTTCCTGAGCACGGGCTAACACCCGTAGTTGGTCCATGGTTCGGATCTCAGGGCTCAGCCCGCCATGAACGCAGAGGACTTCACCATCAATTATGGCAGCTATGACTAGAAAGTCAAAGACCTGGCAGCAAGATTTCCATACAGATGCATTTCCATACTTTTGCAAGCACTCAGCGTAGAAACCATAGACCTGAGTGATTTGGCGAGACTCGTGATTCCCCCTAACAAGGGTAATCTTGTCTGGGTACCTGTATGTGTTAATTATATTTTAGGATCAGAGTCATTTTTCATACATAGCTTTCAGGCACATTAGCAAAGTAAATGTCTCCAAGCTAAAGTATCCACGATCAACAAAGTCGCCGAGAAATATAAAATTTTGATTCCCGTCACGATTGGGTTCATTTGCGCTATTCGTGTAGTTGTGGGTTGAGTATGGACTTTCAGTAGTGCGTGAGCGACCACGTGGTTCTTCATCTTGATATTCATCATCTTCCTCTATCACAAAACTAGGATTTTTTATCATCTTTTGTAACCTTGGATTCGTAATTTGGGTTGGAGGTTCAATGTCATCAGAATTGATGATCTTTGATTGTGAAACTGGAGGCTCAACATTTGTCTCGCCAGGCATTCCTCCTGCTACCTTGAACAGTTCCAGAATATCGTAAAACTGCCCATGAATATCACCAGCTACTGTGACAGGTGTGGTGACTGGTTGAATATTTGATTCTGTAATTATGCAATGAGTAAAATTTCTCATGAGGCACCCTTTTATGAATCACCTTCCATCAGACACTCTTTGACCATTTCGCAGAGTTGCTTCATTACATACTCTGGAAGATATCGACACTGCTTTGCCTCTTCCAGCCACTCACTTAGACCAGCATTCCTGGAGAGATGAGCGGGGCCTGGCTTCGGCACAAAAGATGCCATTGTCTATTTCGATTTTTGCCCGATTTGAATTATGAGAATAACAGCTAAGTTGTCAGTGAGGATTTTGCAGGCTATATTCGTGACAATCTCGAATTAACCTTGTTAAGTAAACTTCAAATTCTGTAAAGGTGTGTGTGTCTAGATGTTTTGTCGGAGTGTAGATATATTTTTGTCGGTCGCAAAAATTTGATGAATGAAATTGTGGTTAAAATTTATGATAATCTTCTTCCTCCAAAATGACTCCGGCCAGAAACTCGAGAGCTGAATATCGTGAACCAGCGCCGAACTATTTCTTATGTTCCCCCCAGACTTACCTTGGGCTCCTCAACCTCATGACGCACGAGCCCATTTGCTCCAGCCCATATGAGTCAGCAAGTACAAGCGGAAAATAGATGATCCCAAGTAATATAGTGCAAGTTCCAGACAATTCCGCTGCAATCTACTCTATCTCGGAACTGATGGTTACATCACGTCTCGTGTTCATTGAAATATATTTCAAAAACTAAAGAAGTTACTTGAGAACTACCAGAATCGCTAAGGTTCACAAACTTAACCACTACTGCTGCTCCTCAGGTGGTGATCAAAAGCGTTAAAACAATGGCTCCAACGAATAGTTACTCTGGAAGCGGGTCTAACGGAATCTTAACCATTTCTGCCAGCCAAAACACTGTTCACTCTCAACGACAATCCAATGTCAAACCACCTTTCCCCAGGCTGAAAGTCATCATCAGGAGGCTACCACCTGGCCTTGCCGAAGCTGAATTTAGATCTAGCCTAGGACGTGAATGGGAAGTTGGTCAAGGAAAAGTAGACTGGCTTCTATATAAGGCTGGGAAGGTGTCCAAAGAGTAAGTTGAAGGAGTTGATCGCAAGACCAAATCAATAACATTCATAGTCCCTCCAAACCATCTCGGCCATCAAGAGCCTATTTTCACTTAACAAATGAATCACATCTCTTCAGTTTGTCAGACATTATACGTGACACCAGTTTTGAGAACACACAGAACCCAACAAATACTCAAGTCCTTATCGGCCCTCCAATAGTTGAATACTCACCATATGGTTCCACTCCTATCAATAAACCCCGAGTTGATCCCAGATCTGGGACAATTGACCAAGACCCAGAATTTATGGCCTTCCTTGAGGGGCTTGCAAACCCCACGAAGGAACTTAGTACTGAGATTCCTGTTGAGGAAAGTCCCAAGAATGAAAAGGCTACAACAACTCCCCTCATACAGTATCTGCGTGAGAAAAAAGCAACCAAGAGCAAGGAGTTAACCACAAAATCGATAAAGAAACACGAATCTCAAAGCTCTAGAGGGAAGAATTTCAAAGAACCTGTACCAATTGCGGAAGAGATAAGAAAAAAAGGTAGAGATGTGAAAGTGGATCGTCTTGTTGGTAAAGCTGCAAAAGACGCCGTCAGAATTCTCAATAGAGAGATTACTTCAAAGCCAGAATCTACACCTCTAAATGTGAACATCGAACCTGAGTCTGAAAGATCCGCGCCTAAATCTGATACTTCCAAGGCAACACCTAATCGACAGAGAGGGGTAGCTATTGCAGCCCACATTAGGATGCTACATCGAGATTTAGGGCTTAGTTCAGCTCAGTCATATCGACAAGCTAGGCGTGATGCCACTAACCCTCAGAAGATTGAAAAGCCTGTAACGGTCGAAAGAGGAACTTCAAGCCAAAAAGGCTCTCCATCAAAAGCTTGGCAAGCTACGCCAGTACCTACAGCACCCAAGGTCAACTCAAATAATTCAGGCAGTAGGAGAGGACGAGCAAAAGGACAACCATCAGAATCAGGGGGCAATGATCCATTCGCTGTCACGATAAAGCCACCAGCTCCAGTAGTTCTTTTAAAGAAATCGGATAACCACCAGAATCATGTAGCGTCTAACCCAATAGGTTCAAGCTCAATAAGTAAGCCAACGCCGGCTGGACCATCGCGGAAAAACCCAGTAATATTACCAAGCGAGGGTGCTACGCAAGCCTTTGTAAAACATGCCAATCCTTCCCAAGGTATCACCGAATCACTTTTAAAAGAAGCAATGGAGAAATTTGGAACCACTTCAAAAGTTGAAATTGATAAGAGAAAAGGATTTGCTTATGTCAATTTCACCGAAGCCGAAGGCTTAAAAAATGCCATGGCCGCCAATCCTATATCAGTTGCCCAAGGCACAGTTCAGGTCATGCAACGGAAAGGAACCGGTCTTCCACCCGAAAAGAAATCTACAAATCACACAGCTCATTCTTCATCTCGAAGTGGCCGTGCTGGGCGCGGTACAGTCAGCAGGAGGGGTGGGAGAGGTGCCTAGTGATGACATTAGACCGTCTAAGAACCCAAGAATAACTAGTTCTACAAAACATTCTAGGCCAAGGACCAGAAAATAAGCCTCGAGATTTTATCAACATCATTCCATGGAGTGAGATCCTGGATTAAATTTCATTTGCATCATATTCGATAAGCAAAGATTGATTGGATCAAACAAAAGTCTCTTCTTTATCCCAAGCTATGAAAGACTACTCAAGGATCTAATTAATTAGTTCCTTAACATATGGCCCAAAATTTCAACAGAAATTTCACGATTTAATCCAGCTAATCTCGAGGTCTTAGGCCTAGTTACTGCAGGAAAAATATATTAACACAGTTATGGTCAGGTTTATAATTATACGTCTATCTAATACAAATCCTAAGTATGACAAGAGACGCCAAAGCTTACTGCCTTAGATGCCTGAGGCCTTCAAGTATCCAGACCTGAATATCCGAAGTCTTTATTTCTCATGTTTAACGAGTTGCAGAGGAGTTATGCTGCTCTAAAATTAAAAAAAAATGAAAACTAATTTTCGTGGGCATGAAAATAGAGTAGTCTGAGTTTTGTTTCGAAAAATAAGTGGAGTGTTAGAATCTTACTTGAAACATGACATTCTACAACAGTACACAAAAACTAGCTAGTCAGCACACAATAAAATTATCATGCTTTTCACAATAATAAGCCACAAGTGAAAATAGTGTTCCATACAATAAGATCATGTACAAAATTTTCTGATATAAGCCATCTATAGAAAAAGATACTATCAGGCATGATAAAATTAAGGGACACAACATTCTAACAAGAGACCGAGCAGTGATTATCTCTCTAAATACACAATAAAAACTTGAGTCAGTAAAGATAATTTGAATCACTATCGATACCTCCAGTACCTAGAGTCAATAGGCAGCAGCTGTCTGAATTAGAGCTACAAAGAGATTTGAAGCTTAACACACGGAGAAAATCGATTCACAATGAGACGATAATTAAAGTCGGCTCGTTGCTTCTCGATCATGAAGTGCGGATGGAACCTACGCATACGAGAGCCAAAAACTTATCATCAGTAATTCATCAATCCATATAAGAATTGATACTCATAATTTTTATGGCTCTTGAAAGTATGTTTGATATTAAGCTTGCTTTCTTACGTGTTAACCTATTAGCTGTGTCTGTTTAATTCAATAAACCATTTTCTATTTACTCGAAGTTCTCAAATTTCTTTCGAAAGTGGCAAATGAAACTAGCCGCACTTCATATTTTACTCGTGGCATCCCCGTAACCTAGTTTCAGATATTATTTATATAATGTGCAATTTGTGTTGATATGCGGCTTTCTTAAAAAAGCATGAGTAAGTGATAGACTATCTAGCTCATCGGGCTCCTCTTTGATCTAGGCCACACCTTGTACAGTGCCCCTATCTTCTTTTGTTGCTAGTAAAATCATTGATATATTGCCCGTGATGAATGGCCATTCAGCTCAGTATTTACCCGTGGAGTTCGGCCACTATTTTCACAGAACCTTCTACCCAAAAAAAATGGTAGCAATAGAAACTGCTTACGCGAGAAAAAGTATCACAAATTCTGCAGCCCCAGCCAGGCAAGGCCTAGACAACGGGACCACATGAGGTGCGCATATTCATCTATATCTCCCTTCTTTGTAACATTCAAGGCTGATTTGATCCAATCCGCCATCTCCGTATCGGGTGCTGGGTACGCTCCGGAAATTTATCGGATGGCTTCTACTCCATGATCAAGGCTTGGTGATGAGAAGGACCTCGACCTTTCTATCTGATCTGCTCGCGGTTAGCTTCATGATAATAGTTATAGGGGAATATATTTAGGGATGAAGACGATACGGATGGCGAAAGCGATTGGGAATCCTCGTCGAAGTGAGGACTTCGTTACTCAATCTCGTTTCTGTAGACTCTACAGTGAGAGCTGGAGGTTCGTAGGGGACACCTCTGACAGGTGTTGAGAATAGTCCCCCCTTCAAAAAAAGTATGAAAAACGCATCGATACAACCAGTTGATTCGATTCTTGCGTGAGGGTAATGATAGCGCCCATCGGATGCAAGCATCGCTGCATGATTATATATTCCTCTAAAATACCATTTTAAAATAAATTGTTTGGAGTAGGTCCTAGTCGGAAATTCCTAACCTAATTGTGCTTTTAATTCAAAAAACCAATTTCTTAAATTCTAGGCTTCTGTCTTACCTATTCATGGGGGTTATATTAAGGTTTATTTTTTTTGAATTGATTTCACTCGGCCCATTCAGGTATCTTGTGGGCCCACGCTAGTATATATAGCTATGATATTTACAAAGGAGAAAACCGTTTCAGTAAAAACCTCCAAAAGCTATCTGTCTGATGTCTATTGGTTTTCTTGCGGCTTCACATATGATGTGCATAAAATTGGTCATCCCGTGTGAATTCTATCCCATCCTTCTCCACATCATTTCATCTTTTTGTCCATTGTAATCTCTACTTCTACAAACTGAAACTGTTCAATCCAGCCTTCTGCTTGTATTTACTTTGTGACTCTCTTCATATCATCTAGGCTGCTCATCATTGCCGCAAAAGAACTATTTTATACCTATCGAGGTACCTCACCTCTTCGCCTAGCCCACTGAGGAAATGTCAAGACGATATGTTTAGTATTTTCGATTAACTTCTCTGGGGATTTTCCTTTAATATATATAAGAATTGAGATTGATGTTCTCACTCCAATCTGAACTGAAATACTGCTTCGGGCCCTGCCATGGTTCTCCTGGATATTTTAGGGTATGCTACTATAGATAATCCTTTTTTTGCCTGTTCAAACCAGATGATTAGATTAGATTTATATTATAGCCCTGACGGAGTCAATGACTGTAGAGGACTCCGAGAATCTATATGTAAGATACTAGCTACATTTTTTTCCTTTCCAATTTTACAATTTTGAACTATATTCTCATGGACAGTAAGGGTCAAGCCCTATAGACCAGATGATTAAAGAGCCTGTAGTATTCACTGGTTGTGAATTTTTTTCATCTAAGTAACTATCTTTATCCGTAAACCTTGCATGTATACCGAATTTGCTTTTTAGAGCTCCACAAGATGTTCTGGGTTCCCTGGGTAAAATGAGCGGGGCGTGTCGTGGACTGATGCTTGGAATGTAGTATGGGCCAAGTGTGCTGTGGCTGACAGCTTCGTCATGCATTCTTTCCATCTCTTCGTCATCTCTTTGGCTCAAGTGATAAATCTTGGCCTGTCCATTAGCCTTCTACGTCGCTCCGGTAATTTAGTTGCTATCAGTTTTCTTGACTAACTCTTCGCTGGATAGCTAAGCGACTTATTTCTACCGATTTTCAGCCAGTATTCTCATTGCGATCCTTGCGACTTTAGGCTTGCTTGCTATCTTCGCACATGATTGTTCTCTTACTCTTAACTAAATTTAATGGTGTTGACATATGATATATCTTGGAAAGCCAAGAATAACTTTTTTCTTTTTTTGCAACAGATTTTAATTGCGTGTGCAGCATTCTACCTTTGACATGAAATCAGAAATAAAATATAGAAAAGATGACTCCATTTAAGAGTAAAGCTCTCATATCATGGATTTCTTTTCCCAGTACCACTGCGAAGTTATGGCGCCTTTTTCTTCACCCCAAGTCGGCCCGCAACCGTAAATAGCCAGTCAGAGAAATATTCAAACTCCTGAGTTATTCAGACATGCCTCCATCATCCTTTGAATTTTCTCCGCGCGAAAATTAAACATCTTAATAAAAACTTTTAAATTGACATATTATTCAGCTATTTTACTATCAAAATTCTTAATATTTGTAGCCCACTTATTGTTGGAAATAGTTCGAATGAAGAATATCAGAAACAATCTAGCATCTCGTCAAGCTATCTCATGAGCCATTTTCCTCGTCTGCAAGTATAGATAAATATGCAATGACAAGATATAAGACATTCAATTATCCGATCGTCGATACTTGTAACGGAGAGCCTATGAAAGGAATAATCACAATAGCTTGTTCGCACAGGTGAATCCAAAAATAAACGTTTTTTTTCTATATGACGAGAGAACTACATGAACTATATAATTGAGTATCTGCTAAGTCTTGCGTGGGTCACTGCTAGATTAATTATCCAATGAATTTAAAAGAAAATCTTTATAAATGGAATCGGATAAGTACAATTCTGTTCCTATAAGGCCCTAAGCCTGTAACAGAGCCTAGTCTAGCCGAAATACTTTAGACTTTCGCTGAGATCCGAACAATTTACTATCAGACATCCGAAGGAATTTGTTCTTTTTCATTAGATTTTTGTCCATCCTGCCTCCGGGCCAAGTATACATTTCTAGTAGTATGTCCAGTCCTGTGCTTTCCATGTAGCCCTCCTCAATCAGTACCATCCCTCACATGTTCTCATCTAACCAAACACAAATAGAAATCTTTGGCCTTTCCATATCTCCCCTCTCTATTCATACAATGGCCATTGTGTCACGGATACTAGCGTTGGCATTGTGATACCACTAGTGTGACGATTAGGTGAGTACGCGTACATGTAGATTCCGTAGACCGTTTAGTTTCTCCTTTATGCAACTACAAATATATTACCCTAAAGACTAAGTTACTGCTCAACTACCCGTGAAACATTGACAATAGTGTGACAGCCGAGCAAGATTATCAGCAGCGACTGGATACGGAGCTCACCTATCACTGATATCAGGGCATAATCCAAAGACGAATCTATCCTTCTGGAGCGTGAAAAGTGATAGACCAGCTGGGTGCTACAGATTTGTGGATACCTTGGTAAATTTGCTCCCTGCCTTTCTAGCTTCTATTAAACCCTTTCCCGAAAGTCGTGCTGAAATATCAGAAAAGTCTTGACAGAGCGTAATTGCTGTATGGTAGCTGGGCCAAACTTCTTTTGTACCGTCCAGGGCGCTGGGGAATGCCGTTGACTCATCAACAATTGAAGTCCTCCTGGCTATTTTACCGAAATCTTAGTTTTGGTGCC